TCAATTAATTCTACACGTTCGCTGAATGACAACCATTCAACTCACATCACGATAGAAACGTAAGTTAGTCAGCGTTACACAGTGTGCATGTCTTGCGGATTTAACTAATCGGTCGGTGAATCAGTTCAGTTCATTTCCTCGAATATAAACCATGCAAAATGTTCCAGCTGTTAGATTCGGTCAACGGAAAATGGGAGACGCAGCCAAGCATTGAAGATGACATGATCAGTTAGTTCGCGGAACTGGGCAGCTACGCACTGAAGGTGAAGGTTTGATGAACCATGCAAAATGTTCCAGCTGTTAGATTCGGTCAACGGAAAATGGGAGACGCAGCCAAGCATTGAAGATGACATGATCAGTTAGTTCGCGGAACTGGGCAGCTACGCACTGAAGGTGATAGGTTTGATGAACGAGCACGTGGTTGAAGCATATATGTCGGTGAGTTCTTGACAATCACTTTGGTGGTCATCTCGGACACGTGACAAAAGCGATTGGATATCGTTGAATCAGTTTGTCAGCCCTCGCTGATTAGGTGCGAACATTCGATTAGAATGGCATGTTCCATTCCGACGTAATAATCCGAGATCACACTATCTTTCGATTTTGAATCCAACAACCGAGTAGTTCAGGCGAAGTCCTCGGTGAGGTTTGTTCAGCTGCATAACACCCAAAACGCTTACAATCGGTGTTCTAGCGGACGTCACGAGTATCCAGTCAAGTTGAGATTACAAGCTGAACAGTCCAAAACTATTATGTGGTGGGACTGCTGATGAACTCATTCACTGTATCAGCAAACTCTTACTGGCTGGACTTAGTCCACAATTCCATCGATGCGCACACATTATTACACAGCGTTTTTCAGTTGCAAGACTAAGCGATGGGTTGGAACAAGGCACATGAGGTCCAGTTAGTACCACTGTTTTCTTTTTATATAATACGTCTTTGTGATAAATAATCTCATCTGTTAGTTCTCATCTGATTTGCTACATGAGGGAGACCTCGTAAGGACCCAGGTGACGACGTTGATGTCCACCGTGTTGAACTAGCGAATGGCTCGCAAAGAAATCTTCCTCAAGGAGGCATTTTGGAACGCCCCCGAAGGTGCTCCCACGACAGATGGTTTGCTGTACCAATATAAAATGAAAATGACCTCTTACGATAAAGTGCGCCACTGAGACTAGTGGAGGTGATGTAAGGTAGTAGAATTTACCGGCTTTAAATATGATCCATTTCTACTCATTTGTGGTACAAATATACATAGATGATTCTGCGACGGAAGCTTTTCAACAGATGCAAGTCATCTGACGGACACGTAACGAGAGTGAATATGAGCAAGACATATCCCACAAACCCCACAATAGAAATATATAATTTCTCAAGGAAGAGATTAGTGAACATGTAAGGCATAAGCTCGGGACAAACGTACTCTGGAAGCCAGGTTTTGCTAAGCCACAACGGTGAGAAGATAGCGGGGACTTGATCACGTAGTTTGTGTATTGCGTTAGCCTACATGGGGTTGGGTGATGGGGCGATATGGCTCAGTGGTTAGAGTGCGAATTTACTGACCAAAAGGCCCGTTGTTCGAACCCGACCTCTGCCTCTCGACTTACTCTGTCTAGGCTTGGACAACCTGGCAATTTCCCAGCCCTCTTGTTTCCTTTTGGTGGCATGACAGCTAGGTACCAAAATGGTGCTACATGTGAACGATTTTTTAGCTTACATGGGCCCGCTAATCATCACAGCAATAGGTCAATCAGTGTTCCACAGAAACGCCTCAAAGGGTAGAGAAGCAAGTTCGATCCCGGCCATAGAGTGGTTTCTGAGACAACAAGTTCAAGTCAGAATAAAGTACCTACATTTGGCATTTTAAACAATTCTAGCATTCACACGCAAGAGGTTAACGTTAAGATACCTGCATATGCAACATAAGTGACGTGTTATTGCTTCCGCTGAGCACTTCGAAACAAAATACAGTGACGGACATGCCACACGTCCAACTCCAGCTATCTATCAACCCCTCAGAGACCTAGAGGTGCGTTGCAAGTTCAGATACGAAGCGCGGTGGCACTTGTGAATAAAAAAAAGGCGATTTGAAAGTTTCTGAAACGAAACGTTTGTAGTTTTTTATGTACTTGAAGAACAGAATGGAAACTACAAATTCGGTAGAAATACAAACCATCTCGAAAAATATCCTCCACGTCGTTTATTGACTGAGTAACCTGGACAGTAAGTCGTTCGGATTGAAAGCACTACGGAAGGGTTGATGATTTGAGTACTAAACTTACGTAGTTGGTCCGGGAGGCGCTCGTAATGCCGAGAAATCTCTCAATAGTTGTTTATTCAATGCTTTTTTCTTAGCCTTCTTTGATCTTTGCATTAAGGATGCTTCAAACTGTGGATGTGAGGTGGTAGTAGCACATAATGAAGCCGAAGGATGTAGTAGGCTTTGCTCTCTTACAGGTTGGTCACTAGCAAATAAGTAGTTTAAAAATTCTTCACATACATCTCAGCTGTTTCTAATCGGTTGTTTTCAGTTTGGTCAATCGAATTCAGTGAAGAAGGTAGGGTGATATCGGTTGGCAGCTGGAAAATTGAGAAGCACTAGGATGGACTCTTACCCAAGTTGCTTCGGTGCAAAGTCCGTCTCGCACCCTCTTTATGTTTTCATAGGTCAAGTTTAAGGAAGATGCGGATCTCTCCAAAACGGGACTAAGAAAGTGAGAGGAGAGCACAACTCACCGGAAAGAGGCGAGTAAGGTCATCATCAACAGTAGGATTTTTGTGAAATGGCCAGTGGCAAATTGCAAGTCACAAATCCTGAAGAAATACCGTGAGCAATCGAATTTACTCACCTCCAGCAACTAACTGAGCGGCGAATAGCTAGTTGCGCGAAGTGGTGGAGTTGTATCAAACAGACAAGAAAATGATCTACTGAATGCACGTTTGGGCAAACAGTATTAGAATCTGCATTTTCTGACAAGCGACGCAGTCTTGAAACTCCTGACCTCTGAACCCCTGAACAAAGGTGTTTAATACTGCGACGAAACTAAAGTGGACTAAATTATTGAAACCTTCACACGTACGCAACAAAATGCTTGGAAAAATTTGAAATGATGAAGTTGGTTTTTGAACCGAATAAAGAGACAATCCATCAGCCTGATATTTTCATTGGTTCTTCCCCAACAATCAAGGAAACAGTCCAGTTTCTTTGTTTCTGCTCTGACAAAGTCTGTTTGGTAAAGCAGAGTCACTCGCTTACTTGCAGTTGAAGTGCAGCATGCGACATAGCCCGTCATCGGGACAAAATCCAACCGTACTTTGGTAGCCATTCCAGGTAATTTGGCAGAATACCCGTATGCTTGGAAACCTGAAACCTTTCTAGCCAACGAGCACCGAAGGGGGAAGGGCCGTGCAAAAAACCGAACTCACGGGAGAACAGCTTTAGGATACTGTTGAAATAAAAAAAAGTGGTAAGCAATTACTCGTGATATGGCCTGGGACAACTAGTAAATCACAAACCCGCATAGCTTTTTAGGAGAAAATTATGTGGCAGGGTGGTCGAAAAATGAGTGGGCTGAGCATACGTGCATTCAGAATCAGTGATCGAAACAGCAGTGAACAACAGGAGTGGATGTACCGTGCGGTCTTTGTGCATGTACCTGGAAGAATACGAGTTGCAGTACATTACTGGACAATTGTAATAAGTACTTCCTGGAATAAATTGTTAGTTAGGTTGGTAACTAGTCACCTTCACCGGGCAACTATGGACGCCCGACACGTTGCGTGTATTAGAACATCGTCAGAGGTACTGAACCCAAATGTAGTATTAGTCTAATAACTGGGTTCCCCAGCATTGCATTCAGTGGTTTTCAAGTTAGGATCCGAAAGCCCGACATTTTATGCCCGGCGGGCTTAAACGTTTTCAGGCGTTCGATAACGCCAATGAGTAACAGACACTAGTTACATGTACTTACTTACTACATACCGTTCCACGTTCTTGACGATAGTAAATCGCGAACAGGAGAAAGTATGGGTAGATCCATGTTGCTCCCACAACCAAGTATGTATGAGAACCCAGTTTTAAACACCAAAGTTGGGAAACAAACCTACATTACCAGAGATTTTAACGATTGCACTGTCGAAAATTGACCCACCTCGTCAAATACACACTCAAACTCAGCAATTAATTCGAGACCTATGGTGCCTTAATATCAAACAAGAAAAACAAGACAACCTGAATTCGGAAAAGTAATCGGGAAATAAAGACGGTACTAATGTGACATATGGGATTACCGTCATCATTTTCAGTGGTGATTCGTCCGTAAGCAATTGCTCAGTGCTATCGCTGAGTTGGCTAGTCAAAGATCGATAAGAGGGATCATAAAATAAAAATGAGTTAGTCGTTAGCTTGTTCGCTGAGTTGCGCAATTTGATTGCAAATGTTTTATCACAAATCAAGGTGATGAAACAACGCACATCAGTGCGTTGTTAGGGAGCTTGGTGGTTGTGCTACGCAACACCACGCTCCCTAACAACGCACCGATGTCATCTCGGTTGGTGATGAAATGATTGCAATCAAATTGCCCAGCACAGCGAACGAGTCAACGATCATCTACGCTACCTGAGCAACCACATTTTGCTCTACAGAAAATGAGTTTTCAAACAGAGCTACAGAGTGGTCCATTCAGTTTTTATAGGGGCCTTTCATAGGCTGCAACATGCTGCAATAACAGTGTCTCCAGTCAACGGTTTGCAGTCAGGTAGATGGCAATTTCGTGAACTAGTGTACTCAGTGTGCGGAAGAGGGCGGGGTTTTGTTCGGGGACCTTGACCCTAGCCTCTGACTCAAAAGTCTGACCCACGAGGCAGTGGGAAAATGTAGGGTTTTCTTTGGGGACCCTACCCGGAGCCGACAACTCAACAGTATGACCTGCTCGGCTGCAGGGGGTTGACCTAACCCGAGGGCGAAGGAAATAAGGCATTACTGTCTCAGTCCTGATGCGGCTGCGCACAGCAGGTACCTTTTGAGAAGCATCGGGCTCTTTGGTTTTAAAAGTATTTTGACCGTATTGGATAATGCGCCGGTGGTCACGGTCAACCGTTGGGCGATCGGAGCGTGCGGTTTTTGGGGCCGATCTTTTCTAACCCGTCCTTCCTCGGGGGAAGGCAGCATCGCTGCTTCCATAAATATGAACATGCTGGTCGTCTGAGGGAAACGCCTTACTGCCTTCACGCTCCTATCGCAGAGGACAGTACGACTTTACCCCCAGACCGCCTCGTGGTACGATTACTCGTAGTATGGGGTCTCGCTGCTCTTGGTCTGGCTGCTCCCCTTTGGTCTTCCTGGCATGGTTGCACCTTGTGGAACGAAGTTCCAGCCAGTGTAGAGCGCAGGATCATTGCAGCACTGAAGCCCGACCACCACGTCAAGGTGGCAGCTTTAGGTCGGGCGTTACATTCTTACGACATTACGGATTAAATGTTGCCTTCCAGTCGTCCCCTCTGCCAAATCATTGCTTAACTTTTAGTTCATTTCTGCCCTCCGTGTGGCTGTGAAGATCGTTATCCGAGGAAGTTGGTCGGCCGACATACGGGACAGGATCAAACAACACAACCTACGTGATCAGCTCATCCATCGCGAGCGAATTTTTCCCTCAGGAAACCACACTTCAGCCATCATTACCAGTAATACACCGTCAATACATACTAGCGCGTAACCACCATATAGCCATAAGGGAAGAAAGCGAACGGAAAAGGAAAGAGTAGAGACCCAGCACAGAAGACATTAATGCCTGTAAAGAACTGCCAACAATAAGGTGTCTATACCTTTCGAGAGCATTATAATGAAGACACCTGAATATCATATTGAATTAAGGCACCACCAGGGGGACTGACGCGGAGTCCTTTGCGAACCTCACTCGGCGTAAGCCCTGCGGACAACGATGGATGGTATTTACCTAAGCATTCCGGTTACGAAATGACACGCGCAGCATGTCCTGCAGGGTTTATGACCACCTACAAGCAGGATCACGTTGTTCCCAGCCAGGATGGCGCGAAGATCCCACAGCACTTGGTTTGACCGTAGAAACATCAACTTCACGTTATGATGTCATGAGCTGTCGCCACGAACAATGGTTTGGAACGGAAAACATCGCCCAACGGTAAAGAAGTTGCATTTCGCTACTTAAGGAAATACGGGTCTTCAACGCAGCCGATCATCCGGTCCTGATTTATGCTTGCGAAACATAACCTGTACGGAAATCTGGAGCCTTCTGGCCACTGGTTTATCTGGCGTATATCGAGAGCTCGCTATCTAGAGCCGTCCAACGGTTAGATCCGAAAACGTTGTTACGATCTACGATGTCTACTTGACTCATTCAACTACGGCGTCTGCAACGGTTTCCAGATCAAAAGAACCCGCCTCAACGCGGTGGTCGGGCTTGAGTGCTGCAATGATTGGGTTAAACGCAACGGTTTCCAGATCAAAAGAACCCGCCTCAACGCGGTGGTCGGGCTTGAGTGCTGCAATGATCCAATGGGTTAAACTGAATATAACTCTGTTCCTCAAGGGGCAATCAACCCAGGAAGGTCAAAAAACAGCTATGATAAAAAGGTAGAGAGTTCAAATACTGCGAACAACCATAATAGGAGACGGTATTGCGGTAAAGTTATACTGTCCTCTGCATTAAGGTGTATGTCCCATGCGACCGTCACATCCATATTTCGGAAGCAGGGATGCTGCCTTCCTCCGAGAAAGGCAGGTTGGAGAAGATAACCCCGGAAAAACACACACGTCAACCGCCCAACTGTCGACCGTGACCACCGGCGGTTTATCTAATACAGTCCAAATGAATTTAAAACATACATAAGACCCGATGTAGCTACAAACGCATCCACCATGTTCGAAACAGCTGATGTGAGGTGCGAACTTACTGACCGGAAGGTTCGTGGTTCTAACGCAGCTTCGGCATTTCGACTGCTCCTGTCCAGGCTTGCTTGCTGGTCTCAGTGTCGTCACTCACCAAAGTAAGCCTCTTAAGTATCCCATCAAAAGCAATACCCTTGGTGGTTCGATGAAAAGACCAAGCGGTCCAACAGAATCTCACAGACACCCTGAAGGCGAAATGACGCCCGAAAGCCTATATACTCCAAATCTTCGAACGGCGAATCCAAGAGTCCAAAATATGACATTCCATGCTTCACCAGCAGCAAGCACTGAAAATTTAGTACACAGATGGGAAAATCACGTCTCCTGGAAACAAAGGGTCGGCGGAAAACAACTTACAAATGAACAAGATGTGCTGGGATCACAAAGGTAGGAAGAAGGAAAGTGTGCCATAGCGGCATTTTTAAGGCCTTGGGATCAAAGTCGGCGTATGATTAAGCCTGATAATCTCTCTGGCAGTACATCTTTCTGTTTCCTACCTTTGGATGCAACCGAAATAGCATTGAAGTGATAGCCTTGAATAACTTGTATTTTGAACAAACTTCCTGATATTCACTAGTGAAACTGCGTTGGACGACATTCCACAATCGCACTTACAGAGGTATGGCTCACACCGGATGACTCCGAAGCTGAGGTCTGCATGGACTCCATTTTTCGGCCTGACTGGGACACGAAGTTGCGTTATACTAAAATGCAGGTCTGCCCAACCAGACTGTCCTCTCTGACACCATTCCTGCAACTTTTTGTGATCCACTGTGAATTCAGATTCCGCTGCGTGGAATCGGTCTTTTTTTCTTGAAGTTGTCTACAGCTGTTCGTCAAGTCTGCCGGAAGATGACCTATTTCTCCTCACCCCTCCAGCTCCCAATCTGCGCGTATTTTGCTGCTACGTGACTTTGACGCTCCCAAGATTTCCTGCACGGAGTTCCAGAGCATCGGGTTTAGCAAACATTTTGTATCAGCATTGACTTAAGTCGTGCAACAGAGCAGTTGAACTCAGTACGTGGACGCATCCACCAGATAACCTGAAGGCACCTACCATCCCTACAAAAGACATTTCGTTGATCGTAGCTCTTCTGGGACATAGTGACCATTGTGTGCTAACTTTTGACTTCATCTGTTACTGGATGAGGAACCCTGCAGCTCAACAGTGGAACCATTGCCGTGTAGATTTTTCATAAATGCATATTTTCAGTGACCAGCCTCAGCGGAGCAGACACACAGGAGTATTGTCCGGAGAACTGACGAAGGTAATACGGTGTTCGTTCCAAAGAAACCAGTGCGACGTAGAACGAACCAGAAGCTACCCAAAGTGATTCGGTGTCTTCTGGGAATGAGCTCCCAACTGTCCTTCCAAAAGATAACTACAAAAGACAGAAGATG